GCTCTTCACACTAGAGGAGGCAGCTGATCTACCAGTCATGCAAACATCAACAGAAGAACACAGATGCATGGAAGAGTAGTCAGATGGGAGAAGCATGGCAGTAACCACAGATCTCAAAGGAAAAGAAATCAACAGGTTGCATGAGACCTAATTAAAAAATAATGATTATGAAGAAATTGAATGACACAGAATTCAATAAAATTAGAAAATTAATGATATAAATGTGAAATTTAACAAGGACATGGAGATCACTGCTTGATCTCCATGAGCTACAGAGAAATCTTAGAGCTGAAGAATTCCATAAGTTACCTAACAATACAGTTGAGACAACAGACTAGGCCAAACAAATGAAAGAATTTCTGAGCTTAAAGACAGATTTTTTTAAATAATCCAGGAGAAAAGAGAGGAAAAGGCAGGAAGAGAGAAAGGACAAGGGAGGAAAGAAGGTTGGCTCATTCTGAGACACATCATTTAACAAATACTGGCAAAATGTGAATGTCAAGGGAAAAAGAAAGAGCTTTAAAAAATCTAATGAAATAATAGCTGAAAACTTTACAAATTCTGGGAAAGTCAGACTAAAAGGATCTCAATACATTCAGCAATGTATCTGCTGAAAGACATTCCCCCTCTAAGGCATTACAGTCATTTTAGCAAAAAAGTAAAACAAAGAACCCTAAAAGCAGCGAATGTACTGGCTGATGCACTGCGTCACCTTGAGAAGCTCAGGAGTCTACTTAAGGGGCTCGGCAGGGAACCACGGTCCTTATTTTGTAAACATCCTCATGCAGTGCAAGAGGCTGGCACAGAGATGGTGTGGGCAGGTAGCCCTGCTACAACGTAAGGGAAGAAAGAGGCTTGTCTTCCCCCTCCCCTTTTGCTCTTGTTGGTTTACCTGTCTTCTGCCAATTACAGTCTGAAAGCTCCACAAACCGTGAGCTAAACAAGCTTTTTCTTTCTTAATTCTGAGCATCAGATATTTTGTCTCAGCAATGAGCTCAAAGTGGCCAGGACAGCAAGACAAAACATCAAATCACATGTGAGGAAATCCCCATTATAGTGACAGCAGATTTCTCAGCAGAAACTTCACAGGTTGGAATGGGATGATATATTCAGTCCCGAAAGAAAAACAAACAAAAAACCCAACAAAACAACTATCAAATAAGAATAGCACTCTCAGCAGAGCTAGTCTTCAGAAATGAAGGATAAATAAAGTCTTTCTCACAGGAAGAAACTGAGGAAAGTGATTATCATCAGACCAGTATTACAAAAAATGCCTAAGAAGTCCTGTACAAGAAGCAAAAAGGAGGCAAAGAATAAAACTCACTGGTAGACACACAAAAGAGGAGAAAATCATCAAACTTTATCTATACAGCAAACCACAAAAATGAACAAGAAAGGAAGAGAGGTGCATGGATTCACAAGAGAAAAAGTAGCTGTATAATAGGAGTGGCTCCATACTTATTAATAAATTTCACTGTAAGTGGATTTAATTCTCCAACTAAAAGATTTAAATTGAATGAAAGGATTTTAAATACAAGATCTAATAATATACTGTCTAAACTACTTCACCAGTAAAAGAAAAACACAGACTGAAAGGAATACAAAAGACATTTCATGCAAACATAAACCAAACTTGAGCAAGAACAGTTACATTATATCACATAAAATATGCTCAATTAAATCCTGCATGCAAAGGAAATGGAATTATTCTATGTGTGTGATCCGATCATAGTGCAGTGAATCTGGAAATCCATGGCAAACCCCCACAAAATGCATAAACACATGGAATGCAGGGGAGAGTTCAATATATGCAAATAATAAATGTAGTATACCATATTAACACACCCAAGGACAAAAATCATATGATCATCGCAAAAGATGCAAAAAACAACTTTTGACAAAGTCCAGCACCCATTCATGATAAAACACTACAGAAAAGCAGAACAGACAGTCTTTCTCTCAATCTAATAAAAGCCATGTATGACAAACCAATGGCCAACATCACACTAAATGGACAAAAATTGAAAGCTTTCACTCTGAAATCAGGAACAAGACAGGGGTGTCCACTGTCTACACTCTTCTCCAACACAGTCCTGAAGATTTTAGCCAAAGCAATTAGACAAGAGAAAGAAAGAAAAGGAGTAACGACTGGAAAGGAAGAAGTTAAAGTATCATTATTTGCAGATGATAAGGTACTCTACATGGAAGATCCAAAAAACTGCTAGATTTAATAAGCAAATTGATCAGTGTAGCTGGATACAAGGCCAACACTCAAAAATCAATAGCCTTTCTATACACAAATAGCAATTTATTCTCACTGAGAAATTAGGGAAACATTCTTCACAATGGCAACCAAAAGAAAAAAGAAAGAAATGCCCAGGAATCAGTCTTACAAAGGATATAAAAGACCTCTTTGTTGAAATGAACACTGTATTCTGAAAAAGGAGACTGCAGCAGGCATCAAAAAATGGAAAGACACTCCTTCCTCTTGGCTAGAAGAACCAATATAATGAGAATGTCTCTATTTCTAAAGCTGTTACACATATTTAAGGCAATTCTGGTCAAAATTCCAACAGCATATCTCAGAATTAGAGAAAACAATTCTAAAATTCATTTGGAATCAAAAGAGATCTAGAATAGCAAAAGCAATCCTGGGCAACAAGGTAAGGCAAGGGGCATCACAACCCCGGACTTGAAATTCTATGGAACTACTGCGATACAAAAATCGTGGCACTGGCAAAACCAAACCAAAACAAAACAAAAGACCCAAGGATCAACGGAACAGATCAGAAGATGCAGAAACAACTCCAGACATATTCAGCCACTTTATCTTTGACAAAGGTGACAAACACATTCCCTGGAAGAAAGATATCCTCTTTGATAAATGGTGCAGGAAAAACTGGCTCTGCACATGCCAAAAAACTAGGACTAGACGTTCCATTTGACCCAACAATTCCCCTCCTTGGTATCTTCCCAATACTGCTAAAAAAAAAAAAAAAAAAAAACAGCTAAAAGCATCATATATCTTCAGCATCATATATACACCACCCATGTTTATAGAAGCACAATTTTTAATAGCTAAATCTGGGGAACATCTCGGATCCCCATCAATGGATGAACAGATTAGGAAAATGTGATTCAAAAAAAATATATAATAGAATACTACTCTGCCAGGAAGAAGGATAAATGAGACATTTAAGGTAAATATAAGCAACCTTGAGACTATACTTTTAAGTAAAATAAATGAGACACACATATTTAAATGTTGGATTGTTTCTCTTGTATAAGAAACTGAAAGTGTAAATAAGGACCAAAATGGATGATACACATTGGGAAGTAGGAAGAAAATGCTCTATGGGAAGGGGAACAAGACTGTGAAAAGAGATAAGGGGATCAAACCAACAAGTAGAAATGACAGTGGTACACATACATCCCCATTTTGTATGGCAGGCATCAGATCTACAGGGAGAGATGAGCGTCCACAGAATGGTGGCTGGGGACTGCTGCACCCCGCTCTCATCAGTGGACAGATCATCGAGAAATATCAGCGCCATGCTGAACTGCTGATCCGGGGACTAACGGACCTGGACAGAA